CATCACAATTAGTTTTATAATGTCCCATTTGTTAAGTGATATATAGAATTGCTCCTATATAAAAATAGTTAATATGAAGAAAGAACAAGGTGAAAAAATTGTACCTTATATTTTCAAAATAAATGATACTCAAACACTGGAAACTTATCTAAAAAAAGAAAAGATTACTTATGAAATTTACCAAGAAGAAAGAAAAATCATAACCAGTAAAAGAACTTTGCCACAAAATCATGAAGAATTTAGAAAGAAAAGAAAATTGGAAGGGAAATAATTTACTACCTAGGTAAGCATGTCTTTGTTATCTTTTAAAAATTAAAGAAATTAAAAAAAGATATGGTAAAAAAGAATTAGTGTAGGTTGGTTTGACTTGCTTAGGTTTTACTTCAATTATTTGTTCTTGTTTCCTTTTTAAGTGGATTTTCTCACTTATCTTTTTTGTAAACTGTAGTAGTTTATTCTTTTTCCTTGGTAATGTTGGTAAAGATTTGTTGGCTAAATGTGGTTCTTGTTTTAGTTGCTGAATTGCTTGGGATTGTCAACTTATCTCCTGATTCTTAACTGATTCTAATTGCTTTAATTTCTCAGCTAATTGTATTTCTCTTCATTCTTGGGCTACTTCTAAGGCTTCAAGGTGAGTTTCAGCATCTAATCTTGCACCTCTAGTTAAATGTATAAAATTTAATGATTTTTAATGTTGCAAATTTTTAATGTTTTTGATATATCAATCTCAGTCCAAAATCAACCATATTTATATACTTTATTTCTTTTTTTTTGATAAAAAAAAATTTTACCCTTTTTGTTTATTTGTTTTATTAGATTCAAATAGATTTTATTAGATCAAATGGTACACTACAGCAAAATTTTGGAGAACCAAAGTGTATCAATTATGCAAAAACACACATAATAAGTATACAAAAAAAATATATTTAGCTTGTAGCATAGGTCCTGTAGAATATGCAAAATTTTGTGTTTCCTGATTTTCTATGTCATTATTATTAATTGAAATTCAATTATTTCAAAAAGAAACCTTTCACACATAATTTATAGGGCCACAAACCACATAGCCAACCCCATTATTCTGTTCAAAATTAGTATTAGTATTAGGTTTAGTAAATTTGGATTAACAGGGTTGATTACATAGTTATATACCTTATTATGTTAATTCTAAAATAAAAAAATGTGTTTTACTGTTATAGTATGGGATTTCCAACAATTTTTTTCAATTATTTGTTAGACATTTTTAATTTTTTAAAAAAGATAATATCATCATTAACAATACTTATAAAGATAATGTAGTATCTTGATGAATTTTATAAATTAATAAATGAAATAGAAAGTTCCTTGGTTAAATTAGAAAAGAGAATGAGAAATAAATGGCTCAAATTAATTAAAATAGATGCTAAACTAAATAGAATGTTATTGTGTGAAAGTTCCAAATGGAAAAAAATAGACAAATTAAAATAGAAATTTTATAATAATTAAAAAAATATAATTTTTGCTTTTTGTTTAATACCTCAATATGTAAAATTCACACTAGTGATTATTAATTAAGCAATTGTTTGTCCAAACAAATAAAAAAATTTCTATGACCTAGCATTGAAGGAGTTAAATGATATGAAGTGCTAGTGTTTGTCACCATATGTAATTGTGAATTTTAAAGAATTAACAAATTTTTTTGAGGTAATCAAATCTATTCACGTTAACAAAAATGTTTAGTTTAAATTGTGTCAAATAGCAAAAATAATTAAATTTCAATCAATACCTTTACAAGTTATCTTTTCGAATCCCATACTATCCTAATAGCATATATTATGTTATGTAGCAAATCTTCAACATGAATATGAAAAAATTAAAATTTTAAAATAGTGAGTAGTGGTAATTAGGGTTTTTATTCATGAATATCATGAATATCATTAAGGGGTTACACTCTATTAAAACAGCAGAAAATCCCTTAAAAACATGAGTTGATCACTTGATTTTAATAGTGTGTGACCCCCTTATGATATTCATGAATACAAACCCTAGTGGTAATAAGTAGATAATTAAAGAGAGTCTATTGAAAGAAAGATAAATAAAGATCCTTCAAACAAGGGATTTACAAAAGTGGAAAAAGTGGAAAAATTAAAAGAGTAAGCAAAAACACATAAAATTAATAATCCAATCTTTTAATCCCCAAAAATAAATTGCCTTTTATATAACTAGGAATTATTGGCTGCTATGTTTTATATATTCATTTGCATGAATATCCACATACTTCTGTTGAATGCAAATATTCAATTAAATTCCAAATAGTAATAATATGACATATCTAAAAAAAAAGACACAAACTTCTATTCCAACAAAGTGTTCAAAATTAGATTCCACTAATGGTATACCAGGTATGTCTGTAGCTAGTTTTGTGGTCATATAACCCAGGGTTGGCAAATTGACTGGTCCATTGAGAACAGATGGATTTTGGACTGGTCCATTGCCATTAGTAAAATACTAAATATGGTTAAAGTGTTACACTAATGGACCCAATGGACCACCAATGGACCACACATTTGCCAACCCTGATATAACCCCATGAACAGTACATTCCATTGTACTGATCCATGATAAATGATTTCAGTGAATTTCCTGTAATTCCCAATTTAAAGATAAATAATAAGTGATTCCAATTTAATAATGAGTGAGCAATCATAATAAAAACTATGCAGTCTGAATGTTTTGGACTACATGTATAATACAACACTAACCTGCATTAATCAATAGTACAACTTTACCTGGTCCACCTTTTTTATCCAGCTGTTGGTTTAATGCATCCTTGGCTCTTAAGTGGGCTTTTTTGAAATAATTTTTCTTTAGTAGAGGACTTGTACCAAGTGGTTTTATTTCTGATATTAAAAATGGCACATCATCTATAGTGCATAAAAAATCAGGTCTCTGCATACTTTCTAATAAAGAACAATTAAATCTGACTTCATAGCACTTTTGTGCAGTAAAAATGTTATTGATGTAAACATTTAAAAATTTGTTGCAATGTTCATCTTCAGTTGTTTTTACTGGTGATGTCATTGGTAGAGTTTGCCGCAATCCATTGAAAATTTGTGCTGCTGACCTGCACAAGGGATCTTTGTTTGCAATAATATAACTATCTTGGTTTATGGTGTGTTTTCTTGCTGCATTGTGAACTATAGTTGATACAGTGTCTGGTATTATTGGTCCTTGGATAACAAATGGGCTTTTTTCAACTACAAGATTCCATTCATCATCACTAAATATACTCTGATAAGGACAAGGTTTACAGACCACAAATATGGATGCCAATGATAATATTTCATAAGTGTCATTCCAACTTAAATTATTGTTTTTAAATTTTGTGATGACAGATTGCTGATAACTTTTAAATCTTTTTGATATATCAATTGTATCAACTGTCCACTCTTGTATTTGTTCTTTATTTAAGGTTCCAATTAGCATCAGGAAATTTTTTCTGATGTAAATTTATGTAATATTATGGGGCCCGCCATAAACTTACATAAATAGTGTAATATTATGCAAAAATTACACAATTATTACATTCAGTGTAAATATTATATTAAAACTTACGGATGTAATATTACAGCGGGAAAAGTTTCCTGATGCTAACAAACCAATTTCGATATCAAATTCATCTTTTGATTGTTCCTTTTTAAATTATCGCAATTTGTAATATCCACAAGAGCTGGCTGTTTCCTCTTTCTTGTACCATGCTGTGCAAAAAAAGGTTTGCAACAGAGTTAATAATAATTGTAACAGCAAATGCATTATATCAAATTCATAATGATAATAATATTTGTACTCATACATTATTATCACATCCATAAACTATGCAAAAAAATTATATAAATTAATTGAATCAATTAATAATATATTAACATGTATATATTAGACTTTTATTACCATTATTATCAAGTCTAGTCGTTGATGTTGAACTAAAAAAAAAAAAAAATATACATAAAGCCAAAATTTTAATCTACATAACTATAATAACAGCAAGTGGCAATAACCACTATTTTTTAAATAATAACTAGAGTGACGACAAGTGGTGGGCGATAACCACCACAACACCATCCTTAAAACACTTACTCATTTCTGGTTTCTTTTCCTTTGTTTCTTTTATTTTCGTTGCTTTTATTTGGCATGTTTATTAAATAAAAGAAAAAGAAGTTTGTTTTGATCGATGTGTACACACTAATTATTTATCCTATTGGTTTTTTTTTTTGGTAGGACAGATGTGAATTCGAATTGATTTTTTTTTTCTTGGAAAAACAATTTATTTTTTGACAGAGTCCAAGGTGACAAAACGTGAGTGTTGTTGT